AAGCCAGATGTGGAATCCAATCTAGTAACAGACTGTTCATATGGTAGGAGCAAGCACTCATGCGATGTCTAGAACTGGGTGGTCGTCATGATTGGATGGTCAATTGTAAGTCCAGCAGCAGCCATAAATCCAAGAGCCTCGTCTACATGGTGAGCTAGTTCGTGGTATCTATCACCTTGTTCACTGTGCTCTGTGAAATCCAGGTTCCACCGTGTAATCCTCTGCATAGCAGCATATCCTCCAATTGCAAATGCCCTCAACAGATTCAGAGTAGCTGAGCTGCACAAAAAGGGAAGATTAGATTAGATGGAGAAATTTACTGATTGCATACAAAAACAGGGGCTTGAACCAACTAGGAAAAGCAGAGAAGTTAACCTCAACCAACTAGGAAACAAGATGAAAATCATAGGTTGTTAGCTTAAACCTCAACCAATCGAAAAATACAATCTTTGATGTTAAGCACAAACCCACATAATTTACCTTCACAGAGTCTAGAGAATGGTTGGAACTCAATTTTCCTAAAATTGTGAGGAAAATAATGTAATCTTAGAAATCTGACACAAATAATGGTAATAAGAATGCACAAGAAGGAAATGTAGACTCACAAAATGGCACCAAAATATAGATCTAACAGTATTTGAAGCAAATGGAAGAAGTATTGAAGTTGCTCTGAGGTTTTCTTACAGCAATAAAACCTAAGCCCCTTCACGTTTTGCAATTCTTAGGAGATAGACAGGAGGTGGGCCTTCATTTTTTAGCAATTCCTCAGAGGTCTCTTTCACGTTTAGCAATTCCCGTATCTGTTCTTCAATTTTTGGACTAAAAACCACCAATCTTGGCCTTTGAGAGAAGAACATATGAGTGCTCGATCAATTGAGAGAGATAAGTGAGGGCGGGCCTTTCTATGTATATATATAATAGTATTATCCCTCAGCTGTAATGAGCCTTCAAATTTTGCCGGAAGGACGTTGCGGGAAAAATAAAATTCTTGGAGGGAATAAAGCGCGCGTGTCCTAAATTCTGAAACATTCATGATGGTTTAAGTGTTATAGTTAAAAGTTTTTAAGAATTGGAGAATTGGAGTATATTATATAGAATGAATATTGAGTGTTAGAAGTATATAAAAATTGAAAGAGATCATGTATGAGAAAATGAAACTAATCAAAATATTCTCAATATATAGCAAATCAAATTAACTAAGTTTGATAAATTTGCATTTAATTTTCAAATAGAGGTTTGTTGTATGATATGTAATTGCCATTTCTTGAAATTATTCCTCACTCTTATATTTTTGCTAAACTTCAAAGAACTTAACTACGCATAAAATAGCATGAGAGGAATGCCTTCAAGTGTGCTAGTCAATAAATATTTATATTATATTTGTGCTAATACATGTCCATATGCATAATTCAAAAATTCTTATGTATTTCATATATGAGTATTTTTTTTCAAGGAACTGTATAAAACACTTATAAATGTTAATAATTAGATGATTTAATTTAATTGTTCTAAAGTTTTAAATACTAGGATAAAGAATAAAATTGATATGGATGTACTATAATCTATGAAATTATAGTAAACTGCTTGTAATTCCAGTTCCTCAACTTTTAAATCTATTTGTATCGTGACTTTGAACTATGTGTTATTTTGCTAAACTCATATTTCTATGATGAACTTTTGATCATAATTTATAAAAAAGAATTTCGTGTAACAAGCGCTTTATGTTGCCTATCCATTTTTTTGAATTGTTATAAAAGTATGTAATTCTTTTATTAAGAAAAGAAAGTCTTGTGTAATAGGCTTAACCTCTCCTCAATTAAAAAATTGATTGAGATAATGTACTTTAGAAGTTTCATTGAGTATTAATAAGGGATAAATGCAGAAACCTCCCCTGAGGTTTCTGACATTTGCACTGACCTCCTCTGTGGTTTGAAAAATTACATTAACCTCCCCTGAGGTTACTAATCCTTTGCAAATTCAGTCCAAACGATTAAAATATTGTTTTAGGGAGTGAAATTAGAATTTTTTACCGGGATAATTTCAGAAACTTCCCTTGAGGTTTCATGAAATATCACCTACCTCCCCTAAACTTTTCAAAATCTCACTTAGGACCCTTGAAGTGATAGTAGGGCCATATACTAATATCAAAGTGATGAATTGTCAATAATACCCTCATATTTAAATTTTCTAAACTTGTTTTTCTTTTCCTAAATTTCCTACTTTTCTTTAAAAACATCTATACAAACATACATACCTACATACATATATGTATGTATAATTGAATTGTAAATGTCAATAAAATATAGGATTTAATCAATGAAATATTCAACGCATTTGGAGAGAATAGTTGCAGGTTCTTTTTATTTTTTCCCTTTTTTGGTGTTTCACAACTTTATTTATTTATTGCTATTCATGTAGAGCGTAAGAGAAATAAAGTAATTAAAACTCCAAACTACAGTTTTTCAAATTGTGACTTTTTCTATAATAAAATTTTCATATTTCACACCTATAAAAAAAGTTTGTCTATTTTGAGTAAATTCTTTGTATGATATTGAAGTTGAATGTCATCTATTACTAAGTTTTTTTTTTCCTCAAATGTATGATTTTACATGCTAATTACTTTCAACGCTATGAAGTGTTCTATTTGTAGAAATGGTTTAAAAAATAATATTTGCTTTTACTATCTCTTCCTACTGTAGAAGTGACTATTAGCTGTAACATAAAATCTTACCAATTTTCATCTTCTCACTTTTAAGATGGTTCTGATTTAGTACTTTTTTTTCTTGGTTTGTAAAATGTTCATTTTTTTATAGCCTAAGGGTATTAAAGGCACTAAAATAATCTCTCTCCTCAAACATGAATTTTTTAATATTACTTTTGGTTAAAAGGGCTTCTAATGTTACCAAAATGTCAATTCGAAGAGTGTTAAGTGAGATTTTCAAAATCTCAAGGGAGCTGGGTGATATTTCATAAAACCTCAGGGGAGGTTTATGAAATTATCCCTTTTTTACCAAATTTGTCATTTGTACTACATGTCCAATGAATGACAAAATACTACAAATTAATTAACAATTAATAAACTTTAAGGAATATAGTTTATAGGCAAATACGTATTACCTATTTAAAATACCGGCTCTTTATGAGTATTTTACTTTCAAACATTTAATTTAATACAAATATTTACGCTCAAATACATATTTGTATTTACTTTCAAATATTTAATTTTTATTAAATACAAAAACTACCAATCTCTCTTCCGTAAAAATATTAATATAATACTTTTTCAATTTTAGTTACAAACATTTATGTATTTAACATAAATTAAATGATTCAGAATAAAATACCCATAAAGAGCCAATACTTTACTCATGTAATGGATGAAAGCCATAAAGAATTAATATTTTATGGGCCATTTCTTTTTAAAAAAATATTTAATTTATATTAAATAAATAACCTACCGATTTTCTTTTTGCAAGAATATTACTGTAACACTTTTTGAATTTTACTTACAAACATTGATATATTTATCATAAATTAAATGTTTGAAAATAAAATATCTGTAAAAAGCCGGTACTTTAAATGAATAATACATGTTTGCCTATAAAGAGCCGGTAACTATTTAAAGTACCGGCTCTTTAAGGGTATTTTACTTTTAAATATTTAATTTAATACAAATATTTATGCTCAAATACAGATTTGTATTTACTTTCAAATATTTAATTTTTGTTAAATACAAAACCCACCAATCTCTCTTCCGTAAAAATATTAATATAACACTTTTTCAATTTTAGTTACAAACATATATGTATTTAACATAAATTAAATGATTCAGAATAAAATGCACATAAAGAGTAATTTATTTATCTTGAATTGTTACGAAAGTATGTAATTTATTTATTAAGAAAAAAGTCTTGTGTAATAGCTTAATCTCTCCTTAATTACAAAATTGATTGAAATAAAGCACTTTAGAAGTTTCATTGAGTATTAATCATTTTAAACAACTCCATTTTTATTGTTTTGAGACCAAAATAATAAATGTGACTTTGAACTATATTCCAATTTTGTCAAATACCAATGCATATTTAGATTAATTAATTTTTCAATATTATTTGTGATATCATTTCCCCTTGTTTCCATGTTAAGTGACAAGATTCTAAAGTACTCCCTCAATCTTAATATTAGAGTCATTTTTTGGGAATCCAAATTTATATGGAGATATGATAATCATTATATTTAGATGAGGTGGCATTGATGAATTACATATCTATCCTTTGAATTCAAAATATTGTTTTAATAGAAGTGTATCAAAATAAAAAAAAAATTCAAATGGCAAAATTAAAAAGTATGTATTTAATTTGAAATAGCGACTCTTATTTTGGAACATCAATAAAGTAAAAATATGATAACAACTATGGACAAAGGAAGTACATAACAACCGTTTCATGAAATTTGAAGTTCCTTGACAGAGTTGTGAAAGCTAATGAGCCATGTGTAACACTTTTTCCATGCCTGCATTGTTTGGCTGGTAGATATAAAATTCAAAATCCATACATACGCTTGATTTAAAGTATTTGGTCTATATGATTCTCCAAGTTCCAAAAATCTTGGGCAGTTGTATTACATATTGTTAGACTTTCCCACTTTCATTACACGGATTAATAAAAAATAATAAAATGCAAAATTGAAACTAAAAAAGCAATAAGCATAAACTAGGATGGAAAAAGGGGCGTGTGACATTTAATCATAATTCAGCACCTATGCATGACCAAAAGTTGAAGTCATTACTTCAAAAATACATGAACAGCAATTGTGCCCTTCCAAAATAACCACCGTTTAAAACAAACTTGAGCTTCCAAAAGGTCTTGTCACCTAAACATTTTAAACACTTTCACGGTGCCTTCCAGATTGCAACCTATTTCCAAATTTGCAATGTTAACCTGCACCAGAAAAATCACATATTAACAAGCTAAATTCAAAAAAAAAAATTAACTGCAAGCATTTTTAGAATTGAATTACAGGACTTTTGTCAAGAAGACAAATTGCCACATAGAGCAAGAAAAACACATACCATTACACCTTTTAAACAAAAATAAGCCTAGCTTCAAAAATATTTTATCATCTACCACATCCAAAACAAGCCAAACTACAAAAACAATTCAAGCTCAAGTGGCTCCTTCTAGATTGCACAGCCTATTTCCATCCAAAATCTCCAAAATAAACCTGCAAAACAAAAATTTAATGTAAGAGATTTTCCAAACATAATGAAATTTTTTACTAAAACCATTGTGCCTCAACTGCATTTCTCAGCACTAAAACTTCCCATATATTTGGCTACCCATATATTGCTTTCCAAAATCACATATAACTTGCATCACATCCATTCATCATTTTGTCATAGTATATTACTAGAAATAACAGAGGACTGACTCTATGCATTCATATTAATTGAGATTCGTACTAACATCATCACACAGAAGCACAAATTGGTGACATCACAAACTAAATTGTTTGAAAGAATGATGATACAACTAGATATTTTAGCTACTAATCAGGATTCAAAATTTAGAATATCTTACCTTGCTAATTTATAAAATTAGCTATTGGCATTAGCTACAGTCCTGTTTTTTACTTCTGCCATCAACCAATCTATTGACTCTTGTAGGTGCCGAAGTTGAGCTTGCTGTTCCTCAATTTTAGAATGTGCAGCCTCCAGTTGTGACTTTTGCTCAGCAACAATGCTCTCCATTTGTCTATCATTGCTGCCATTGGTTCCCCTAATATATTGCCTTCGAGATGGAGGTCTGACTCCACGAGGTTTCCCACAGATATAACCGGACTTTTTTTTGGCAAACTTGTTCAACTATCTCAACCTCAGACATTGGTGGCTCATTTTCAGAAATAGGTTGAATTTTCAAATTAATCATTTCTTGCTGCAAGATATAAAATTTGTACCATAGTATAAGCTCTCAACTTAATATATTTTTTATTGACAAATTTGCTTGATATGCATGACTTACATGCCTTTCTTCAGCAAGACGAGAGGACCATCCTTTTCTATTTCTGTATGCGATATCAAACAAATCAATAAGACCAGGTTTCTCATTTGTCTCTGGATTGGTCTGACAAAATAGGCAACATATGAATGCACAAATATGTTTGAAAATTTTCATTTTGACTGGATTTAAGAACTTCTGACCCCATTGTCACAGCAAACTGGTAATATAGGATGCGAGTTTACCATTTCATGACGTTTTTGTGGAAAAGACTTAGATCCCAGCTTGTGCACATACTCCAGATTTGCACGATTAAGTGCATTAGTTCTTGAACGAGTCTAATATACAAGGTATGATCTTGTCAAGAACTTAATTCTCTATGCATGAATTATTTTAACAAAAAATAATGCATAGATATTTACTTACCTTCCAATCCTCATTGTCAAAGATATTGTCACAGATCCAAACCCAATCATCCCTTCTCTCAAGAAAGTGGACAGGAGGATTGGCCCTTCCATTTGCACCTCCCCCATACTTTTTGTAGTGTTGATGACATTTGTTCCTAAAATTTCCATACAGAGCATCTTGAACATGCAGCTTTGTCCAGTCCAAATTAAATGTGCCCTGTAAAATTTACAAAAATAAGTTTAGAAACTTGTAAATGATACGAAATGAATTAAATATATCATACCACTGCACGTTCATAAAGATCCTCCTTGGCTGACTTGTCCATGGCTGTCCAATTCTGTACTCGTACTGGTGCATCTTGCCTAAGGATAAGACCGAGCTCTCTTGCAAAGCATGCACTCCATTCACCAACAGGTGCATTCTCATCTTCAGGTATTAATATTGGTGGTCTGTATTTTTCACCTTCTAGATCTTGCTCCCTTCTTGCCCTTGCTTCTTTCTCAAGCCTAATATTTCGATTGGGTCCACGCTTTCTAGGGGCTAATAAATCTAAGAACAAGGTGAGTATCTAGAAACTAAAATTTTGCAGCAATTTAGGATAATACTAACTGCTAACATCTACAAAACTAGGACATATTTATAATATCAACAAGGTTAAAATCACCTGCATTTGTTCCTGTTGAATTGGATGCATTATGAACCTGATCTGCATCATGTTCATTATTTGTGGATTGAGTAATTTGGTTTGCCACTCGTGAAGCTGCATTGTGGTTAGCAGACTCATTTTGTGCTTCAATTTCATTAGCTGATAGCTCCTTTTGTCAAACAAACAAATGATCATGTCAGCTATGAACAGACGTCTTCGAAAAAAAAAATGTAACTTAGCCAAAATAATCATATTGACATTATGAATATAAATGCAACATTACACCAGCTGGGCAATTTTGAGAGGCAAAAAGACTAGTAGATGGAGAAGATATTGTTTGGAAAGTCCTGAAGGATTGAATTGGAGGCTTGTTTGTTACTTGCTGAGATTGTAGAACTCTAGCCCCCTCCTAGGATGAGATATAATGTCATTAGCTATGATCTTCAGTAATAGAATAACAATCTTAATTGCTTAAGATATAGGCGTTAAATGAAAAACTTACTATAGCAGATTCCATGTCTATGAAAAGATTCATGACTGGTTCCATGTTTGATGTTCCATGAGGGATGTGGTTAGAGTTTGTTTCTCTCGGAGCTACCTGCTTTATAGACACAAAAACAACATATTAAATTTATTACACTAATGTGAGTAAAATCTAAGCAATTGTAGGAAAGGTTTTAGTTCTCACTGTGAGAGACTTTTGCATCAGCTGATCCCCAGTGCAAACCTTTGGTGCTTTAGATGCCGGATTAGATTGTTTGCTTGCTGCAACTTTTTCAAATTGCCTTCCCCATAACGCATTGCCTGGCATCTATATTAGACCACTATTAGTATCTCAAATAAAATTACAAGTATAAAGGATGCACCCAACATGCGAAACAAAATAACTTTTAGCTATCATGAAAGGACACAAAAAGCAATTGATAATGATTGTAATACACAAAATAGATCTTTTTCATGAAACAAGAGTGGTACAGATACACTTCATTTTTACAAAAAAAATGTCATAAGTCACTCTATGTCACTGTCAGAACTAAAGCTCAAATAAGGTTCTTCTTCACTTTCTCTTGTGCTTCCTGACTCTTCATCAATCATATCATCATTAATGAAATCATCCAACTCATTCTCAGCTTTGTCACCCGATGCAGTATCCTCTAAATCAATGGTTTCTGGGTCAACATCAGCTCTGTCCAATGAAAATGCTTCATAGTCTTGAACTTCAAACATGATTTCTGAACACTCATTCTGTTGGTATGCTTCATGATTACCAAATGCATCTTCAGGATCATTTTCATCAGTAGGTTGGAAAAGTGATGGATCCCATATATGTCTATGATATGCAACAAGAGCTACATGCCAATCTCCACCCAATTTTGTGTCCTTAACATAGAAAACTTGGGTGGCCTGAGTAGCAAGAACATAAGGTTCATTTGCATACTATTTTTTCCCAAAGTTAACACTTGTGAAATACTTATCACAGCGAGCTGTCCTAGAATCAAACCATTCACACCCAAATAAAAGAACTTGGCAATTCCCCCTATATCTTAGCTGCATGACTTCTGTAACAATTCCATAGAAGTCTATAATTTCATTATTGTGCTCTCCCTCAGTACGTATACCACTATTTTGCGTCTTTCGACGACTATCACGCTCCTTAGTTAGGAACTTAACTCCATTGACTATACAACCTGGATACATGGTGGTACGAATATCTGGCCCCATTGCAAGTGAATATAGATCTTTGTTCACTTGACAGTCTCCTTGATCATGCAAGTTCTTCATCTGCATAAATAGCACTTAGTGAACATCAAAATTTTAGTCTTAAAGCAATCTTTTCCTTATTAATAAGAAGAGCATATCTTACTTTTTTTCTAAACCATAATGGAAATTCAACTTTCTGTCTCTCAAAGAGGTTTGACGGATTTCTTCTTTTTAGCTCTTCCTCATGCTCACTGTTCATAGTGCATAATTAGAAACTGCATTTCTCAAATTGTTCAACTAAATTATTGGTGAAAAAGATTTACTTACAGCAAAAATGGTCGCAATTCATCACAATTGTTAAGAACATACCAATGAACCAAATTATATTGATCCCTTGTCAAAGTGGCACCTAGAGGCGATCCAATTGGACGAATTTTATGGGAAAATATGGATAACCTGTCATGAGCAGGATTTTCTCCATCATAATACCTATCTGGTCGATTGAATTTTGTTTCAATCCCATCAAGATATAAGGAGCAGAAAGTTAAACTTTCATTGACAATATATGTTTCTGCAATTGAACCTTCTGGATAGGCTTTATTTTTCACAGTTCCTTTGAGACTTCCGAGGTACCTATATGTGTAAAAAGACTGTTATAAGCATATATAGCAGTTAGTGATCTAACTTAGCTAATATATTTTTAGGAAGTGATATTAAGAAGAATTGTACTTACCTTTCAAAAGGGTACATCCACCTATGTTGGACAGGCCCTCCAAGTTTGGCTTCACGGGGTAAGTGAACAGCTAAATGGATCATAATATCGAAAAAAACTGGTGGAAAGATCATTTCCAACTTGCACAATATCATTACTATGTTCTTTTCTAATTTCTCAATCTCTTCCAATCTAAGCTTTTTTAAACACAGATCTTGAAAGAACTTGGCTACTTCACATATTAATGTATACACATATGTTGACAAGAATCCGCGCAATCCGACAGGAAGCATTCGTTGCAAAAGAATGTGACAATCATGGCTCTTTAATCCTGATATCGTACCATCTTTTATGTTGACACATCTTGATATATTAGCTGCATAGCCATCAGGATACTTCACTGAACTCAAAAATTCACAAAAACCTTGTCGCTCTTTTGGTAACAGATTATAGCATGCTTGTGGCTTTTCAAGCTTGCCATTTCTTCGATGTAAGTGTAGCTCATGCCGAATGTCCACGTCCTCCAAATCCCACCGAGCTTTATCTGTATCCTTTGACTTGTTTTCTAAATTAAGCAAAGTTCCCATAATATTATCACACCAATTCTTAGCAGTGTGCATAACATCAATGTTGTGTTTTAGTGGAATATCTTTCCAATACGGTAATTGGTAAAATATGCTCTTCTTAGTCCAGTTTCTTTCTTCAAGACTGCGCTTCCTTTTCTTAGTATTTGGATTTTTTCCAAGTGTTACACCCTCAACAACTTTTAATTGTTCAAGAATTTCTTCACCTGACAATTCCCGTGGTTTCAACCTTCTCTCTACCTTGCCATTAAATTTTTTGCCATCATTTCACCACACATGATTATCAGGCAAAAAGCGACGGTGGCCCAAGTAACCAATCTTGTTTCTCAATGACTGATAGTCCGTTTTATCATTGCAGCAAGGGCATGCCATTTTTCCCTAGGTCACCCAACCAGATAAGTCCCCATAAGCTGGAAAGTCATTTATAGTCCACATAAGTGCAGCATGCAGAAGAAAGCATTGTTCAGCCACAGAATCATATGTCATAACACCTTTGAACAATTCTAACAGTTCATCAATCAAAGGTTGCAAAAACACGTCAATATCCTTTCCCAGTGACCGACGACCTGGAATAAGTAGTGACAAGAAGAAATAAGGCTCCCTTTTTGATACCCAAGGTGGCATGTTATAGTTTATGAGCACCACTGGCCACATACTATAGGAGTTACACATATTATTGAAAGGGTTGAAACCATCACTTGACAATGCAAGACGAACATTTCGAGCATCTTCAGCAAACCATGGAAATTTCTTATCAAACTCTTTCCATGATTCACCATCTGCTGGATGACTTAAGACCCCTATTTCTTCAACTTGTTTTTCCTTGTGCCATCTCATATAAGATGCTATTTTTCTTGACATAAATAGTCTCTGCAGTCTTGGCTTCAAAGGAAAGTAGCGAAGAATCTTCTGAGGAACTTTTTTACCTTTGCCATCATTTATTTTCCATCTAGATTGCAAGCATTTTGGACAATGATCCAATCCTTCATATTCCTTCCAAAAGAGAATACAGTCATTCTTGCATGCATGAATCAGGTCACACCGCAACCCAATGCCCCCCAATAACTTTCTTGAATCATAGTAAGAGGGCGGAAGTAAGTTATCATCAGGGTAGGAATCCTTCAATAGTTGAAGAAGCATGGTAAAAGATTTATTACTCCATCGATTGAGTACCTTCAAGTGTAGCAATTTTACAACAAAAAGTAATATTGAATACTTTTTGCAGCCAGGATATAAGGCCCGCTTAGCATCTTTAAATAATCTATCAAATTTTTCTAACTCATCTTCTTTTCTAAAAGAAACCTCCTTATTGCTCCCACCATTTAATTCTTCTTCATTAAAGGTCCCCCAATAGATGTCTTCTAAAATTTCTTGCATTTCGTCATCATTTACTTCTGCATTGTTAGCATTAATTTCATGCTCATTATCACAACATGAACGAACATTTGAATTTTCATTAGGCAGAGTTTCCCCATGAAATTTCCGATATGTATAAGTACTATCCATCCTCTTATATAGCAGATGACTCTCAACAACATGAACAGAGTAGTACTTCACATTTCTGCATTTTCTGCATTGACATCTAATCTTTGGTTTATCACCTTTGTGCTGTTTTGCCATTGTCAAAAATTTCTCTAGCCCATTCCTGTATTCAACACACCATCTATCAGCCAGGAACATCCAACCCTTATCCATTTTTCCACCTGGCATATATGAACTACATGCTATACCAAGGTGCAAGTTTAGATAACAAGCCTTCCCAGAGGAATTGTGTTGGAAAAATAGCACTGAAATTCAAAAAGATGATAATTATAAAGAACTAGTTAAATAAAGCATAATATGTCCATAACCCAACAAAAGCATATGCATTCACAATATCACAAGTTAGATCCAAATAATGGCAGTTTCACTTCAAATAGAAATCAAACTTGAGGACTGTAATGCACTTACCATGAAGGACCGCTCAAGAAGATTAATAAAGTGCTAGAACTTGAACTCTTTATGCTTCCTGCATCCAATGTCCCTAGTCATTGAATAAAATGTTGATTAACAATAATTGTACTAAGCCTTGAGAGCATTGGAATGGGTCCCTTTATTACCTTTTAGAAAAAAAATGAAACCAGTTATATATTTGTGACGTTTTGGGAACAAAGCTAACATAAATCTCTCAAAGAAATGAAAAAAAAAACTCTCAAAGAATAATCCAGACATCCCATCATAAACAAAATGAAACAACTTTCCTATTAACTGTGGAAAAACCAAATACAAACCGACAGAGATGTCTTCATTTACATGCGAGATGTATGACAAAAAGTGCATGGTACGGTGAGTTGCTAGCTATGGACCCCAGATGAGGGCAAATTATGAATGATGGAAAGTCATTATTATTGCTGAAAGATGTCATGCATGCTCATGCACTTGTCCACCTACCAAGCTGCATGCATACATGCAGGAGTATTTTTTTTTGGGAGGTGGGGGGCGAGGGGTGTTTGGATTTTGGGGCTTTGGATTGTGAGAAGAGAAGCTACGTCTGCAACTAGTCATGGAAACGGCCGACAGAAACACAAGCTGTAAAAGCTAGAGAGTTCCAAAGAAGTTGTTGGAAACACAGCTAGAAACAGGGGAAAAACAGAGCAGTGATATAACGTCAAGAAAGCAGTGCTGTTATGGCACCATACCAATTCCTCACCCAGCTCGGTGGTGAAACATCTAAAGAAATGTTCTAATTAAGTCGAGAGATAGAGAGAAAAAAGAAGTCTTGTTTTTCACACAAGGTAATGCTCATGAAAATGCCACAACTGATTCATTGAAAGGACTAGCAGCATTTGTCCATTTCTCTAACACTGAAGACGTTGAAGCTATTGGCTCAACCATTTGATCAATTACACTCCCTATCTTTTAAATAGTGAACATGCAATCATGGCCAAGAAAACTTAGCAAGATTGCTCTGCGATTAACTTGGCATCAATCTTGCTGAGTTTTCTTGCTGAGATTAACTTGGCATCAAGATTGCTGAGCTTTATCTTGATACCAAGTTAGAACGCAGCGGCATCAAGTTAACCGCCCATTCAGAGGAGAACATGCAATCATGATTAACTTGGCATCATGGTTAACCGCCCACTCTTTAACCGCCCATTCAGCGGCATCAAGATTAACTTGCTGACCAACCGCCCATTCAGAGGAGAAAGAGCGGAAGCGGCGCCTGCGCCGGCGGCAAGAAAAAATGGCAGACAAGGCAGTGACTATTCGTACTAGGAAGTTCATGACCAATCGTCTTCTTTCCAGAAAACAATTCGTCATTGATAGAACACATCCTGGAAGTCCTAATTTTTCCAAGGCTGAGTTGAAGGAGAAATTGGCTAGGATGTATGATGTGAAGGACCCAAATGCCATCTTTGTTTTCAAGTCCAGGACGCATTGTGGAGGTGGCAAATCAACTGGGTTTGGATAGATCTATGGTTCTATAGAGAATGCTAATAAATATGAGCCCAAATATCGGCTTATCAGGAATGGCCTGGATACTAAGGTAGAGAAGTCTAGGAAACAACTCAAGGAAAGAAAGAACAGGGCCAAGAAGATCCGTGGTGTAAAGAAGACAAAGGCTGGAGATGCTGCCGAGGCTGGAAAAAAAGAAATAATTTTCCTGAGAGTTCTAGGCCTTGTCAAATTTTTATAGAGAAAAACAAAAATGTTTTTGCAGCAGAGTTATTTTCTCATTTGTTACTTTGAATTGTGTCTTTGTTCCTTTGAAACTATGAGATGAAGGTGTTTACAGTTCAAATCTTGCACTCTATGAATAGCCAGTACCCTCTGAAAAAAAAATGAGAAGACTTTTCTACTTCTAGAGTTGATCTTACAAAGGATGAAAAAGCATACCTGGTTAGAGATTGTTGCAGAGAGAATTGATAGATACTAAGAAGGAAAAAAGAAGGAAATTTTGGAAGTGGAGACTTTTATCTCTCCTGCGGACAACTTTTATATTCTTGGTTTTTTAGTTTTAAATCCTATTAAGATCTTTGTTGGTGGTAATTTGGTTTTGGCAAGAAAAACACCACATCCTCTCCGCTGCTTAAACAAGCTAGCGAACACATATCCTCCCAAAAGAGGGTAAACCAGTTGCAATCCCATCATTTCTCACCAATAACATAAAACTTTGGCCCGCTACTGTTAGCATTTGGAGGGAAGCTTTCCCGCGTTGCTTTTGGCGAGGCTATTAGGCAAGAAAAGTTGTAGCCCTCGCTGGGTGTAGGCTGGGTCCAATTTTTGGTGAGGCCTGATTCTTTTTCTTGCTATAAGCCACTTAATAGCATCAAACCTTGTATTTCATGCTAAAACTGTTGTCGCTAGTGCCCTTTCTTGTTGTAGTGATTTGTCTGAGAAAATATTTCTTGATCTCAAACATTTCACATCCCACCATACGATGCCATAGCCATAGGCTGCATTTGAATCAAAGGAAATTTATATGAAAAAAGTAAATCAAGAGATGGGGAGTTAAAAGGAAGTTAAATTAGACTTGTTTTACATTTGGAACGGTGAGAATACATAAATAAAGTAGACTTGATTCAGGACCTTATTTAAAGCTAGCAAAAGTTTGGTGGACATAAATAAAAATTTTTGGTCAACAATGTACGTGAAAGTACACCATACAATATAACAAATCCATAAATCATATCCACACCAACTTTAATCACGTTACTCTTAGAGTTGGGGCGCTGAAGCACTAAATTACACTGTCATCTAGGCACTTTTGGAAATGGTGGATTTTTGCCCCCACTAGTGAATAAAAAGCCAAGATACACATGACTAATTTGGTGAATTGATTGTAATTGAGTACTGAACCATTGAAAACCAACTTGTTTCTATTATGTAGGCACTTTGGAAGTTAATTCGATTACTCAAATACTCCATAGTCCAGTCATATAAACTTTGATGGAAAATAAAAGAAAAGAGGTCTATCGGTTAAGTATGTTTAGCAGCTTGCAACTCAAAAAATCAGAGAAAACCTGTTAACTGAAGTATTCTTCACTAATTGCAATTTCTTTCAACTCTTCCAATTTTCAAATTAACTCCCAATTTATGGGAAGAAGTTCAAATTCCTTTCTTCGTATTCACCAATTTGCATATTGTTGGCATATTGCATATTATTGTCTTTCAAAGTGAATTGGAGTTAATTTGCTAATGCGCAAATAGGCACTCAGTCATTTTTTTTCACTAATGAAATATTTCTAATAGTATTTGTAAAACATATTTTGTAGACAATTGATCAATAATAGTTCAGTTAAGCAAAATGTATTTCACAGAGTTGGTAACGAGAACATTATGTACAGTTTATCAAAACATAAACACCATTCATAGAAAGTAATTATGATAGGTTTTTTTTTTCTTTTTATGTTTTTCAAAGAAATATATCATTGTAGCAAGAAATAAAAAGGAACCCCACACCCTCTTCTTTTCTTTTTTTTTTTTTTTTTTGCTTTTTATATGTTACCGTGCTGCATGCATGGATAGAAACTTGGTTAAAACTGGTTCAAAGAAACTCCATTTTGCAGGAAGAAACCCCACAAGAAGTATACAGGGGGGATGAGGGAGGCAAAACCATAACGTGGTACTTTCCTCACCACAACTTCACCATCATGGTGCTGTGGTCGCAATTCCTCGTCTCCGCCTCGGAGATGGTAGTGAACGGGTCAGCAACCGACAGTTTCCATTTGCACCTAGACAAAATTGATGAGAGTTGGGTGCAAAAACTACCGGCCCTGGATTATGCCATTATCTCCGCCGGCCACTGGTTCTTTAGAACCAACTACGTGTCCGAGGGTGGTCGTTTTCTTGGATGCATTTACTCCCACGATCCTAACGCAACGTACCTGACCCCTGACATTGCCATCCAAGGAGTTTTTAGGCTTGCTCTTAAGTCCATCAACGACTGCAACAACTGCTCGAGGATGCTAACTTTAGTGAGAACATTTTCACCAGCCCATTTCGAGAATGGCGCATGGAACATGGGAGGGACTTGCAATAGAACAAGCCCACTTGCTCCAGAAGAGATTAACTACAATGGCGTGGAATGGGATAACAGGAATGTCCAATTAGCAGAGGTTGAAAATGCACACAAATTGGGAGAGAAGAGGGGGAGAACATTTGATGTTATAGATGTTACTGGAGCTATGTCAATGAGGCCTGATGGCCACCCTGATGTACATTGGGATCCCTTCTGGGCTAAGGGAACCAGCGATTGCATCCATTGGTGCTTGACGGGGCCGGTTGATACTTGGAACGAAATTTTACTTGAAACACTGAGAAGGCATGCATCAGAAGATGTTAAAAACTAAAATACTTCAATAGTGAAACAGTTTTGGACTCCAAAAAAAGCCGCCAGTGGAGCTCATTGTTTGTTGAGGTCTAACCCATTTGAGAGGCAATCCTAATGCGGGCTGTCTTTCTGCGGTTAATATCCGGGAACAGACTCTCTGCAATTATAAGAGCAATTGCACTATACAATTCTTGGTTCGGATGGGATGCATTTGAAATTGGACAGATTAGATTGATTTTGAGATGCAATTTAAGCGGAGGAATTGTAAGTAAGAGTTTAAATTCAATTCTTCACTTTAAAGAGAATTTAAAAAAAGAGATACAATTTTTAATGAGTAAAAGCTCTCTCTCTCTCTATATATATATTTGCACATTGTTTTATTCATGTGTATATTTTTGTTTTAGTTTTCACATTTGTTGTGCTCCTGCTTGCATTGTATGGCATAACTGGTACTGATAATTGTAGAGATGCCGAACCTGTTAATACCCTCTCAAACTGCTGAAGTGAGATTTGGGAGAAAATCTCAAAAATTTGATCACGGATTAAGTGATTTTTGTTGGCAAAATAAATCAAGTTTATAAGTTTCTATTTATTTATTTGTTAGTTTTATTGGAGTTAGGTATATAGTATATAGTCGTGTGATTTAGGAGTTTGTGTTTTTTTTTAATAATTTTTTATGCAAGTGGTTTCTTACTCAATCCGATATGTTATAAATAGGACGTTATTATTATTTTTTTTTTGGAGGGAATAGGACATTACTTGGAGTGTCTTCTTAAGGGAGTGCAGGAGAGACTGCAAGGTTTTATTGCATGTGGCTTTCTTTCATTGTTTGTTATTTTAATAATAGTGTGAATTATTTATTTTCTTCTATGCCACATAAATATTTTGAGTGGTTATTTTACTCCTTTAATTCTGTAACCCCAAACGTATAATTAATATTAGAACTCTAAATTTGCGTTCTACAATTTTCATTTTGGATTGCCTTAGGTGGATTTGGCCATTCTTTGCTTTCTCAATGTAATCATCATTTGTTTATACTTGTGTCTTAGGTATTACTTCTCTTCTGTCATAGAATAACTTTATACCTAAAATTCACCTTTACAAAACAAATCTTTATTCATTGAGAGTCTATTTACGTCACTTTTAATAAAGAAAATATTTTTGAGTGATAGAAATATTTCTAGGTGCTTGGTAAATATCGTTAGTAAATTTAGTGGTGGAGATTTTCGTCTCAAAAACACTTTTTGTGTAAACTCAAAATTGGTGTTTTTGAAATAATTTTCATGTTTCAAAAAATAGAAAATAAAAATCTAACCATTTGATCATAAATTATGAATTGAATAAAGACATAAATACAATCAAATAATAATATAATTCAGTACTTAATAAGTATTTTTATCAAAAGCTCTATTAAATAAATGACATTTTTAACCACAACATCAAACAGGCACTAAAAATGACACATCAAAACCAGTTCAAATCCAATCTAGAATGTGTAAATGTGTCTAGAATTATATCCCAACTTCAAATTTTTTATATTATTTCCGTAACACCAATAAAAATTGACGCATGTACAACTTTTTATGTCAAATTAAAAAAGGAAAATCATTTAAAATGTCCCTGATATTTTGTCATGTAAATTTTTCATCCTTCACTTTTAGAATAATAACTTTACGTCCCTTACAAAATTAAGTCGGTAAAATTTTGTTCGAGTGTAGATTTTTAACCACTTTTTACCCTGAATCCATCACGTAATGCATACATGATCATTTTTTTAGGGACAAAATGGTTAGATTCTGTTTGCAATTAAACAAATGATCCAATCCATATTCATTTTTATCTCTAAAAAAGTAAGATCTGACTCAAATCATATTTATCTTTTCTAAAATAGTGAGATTTGACTCAGTTTACATTCATTTTTGCAACTAAAAAAATGGCATCTAATCTTTTTTATACATAAAAAATCACTGCATGTGAGTCGTGTGATGATTTCAGACTAAAAAGTGGTTGAAAATTTAGGTTGAGATCAAATTTTACTAACTTAAATTTGTAATGAATTTAAAGTTAATATTTTAAAAGTGAATGACAAAAAAATTAATTTAATAAAATGTGTTAGAATTCTTTTCCATACAATGCGACAAACGTTTTGATCGACTTTTCCAATAAAAGAATTCTATTTAGAACTAGAGTTATCGTGAGGCCCATCACTACACTGACTTGAAGAAGTGGGCCGGAGTTCCCAAATTGATTCACATTTTTCAGATGCTATGACACAGTATACTGTTTAGTTGTTCCCCAATGTTTTAAAAACCGGACCGTTAATTGAACCGATGACGTGAAAGGGTCGAGGTTCAATCGGTCGGACCGATTCAACCTCGATTCAATGAATTTTAAAAAAAATAATTTATATAAATATTTATGCACAAAATAAGACATGTAATGGATTAATTGATGAAAAGTTTACTATTTTTGAATAACTTGATTTTTTAAAAATAAAATTTTTAAATTATAAGTTAAAACAAATAAATTTCATTTCAATTTCAATTATATCTACCAAAAAAATCTTAGATCTAACCCAAAAATATCATAATATTTTAAAATTATACAAAATTCATGTCTATGAGAATTTAGATTTTGTAAACTTAAATTTTAATTTACGTTTTGGGATTTAGAGATTGCAATTTAAAAAAGGAATTTTGGAGTTCGAAAGAAGTCAAGAGAATCGAAAATAGAAATGCAAACTTGATAAGAAATAAAAAATGAGATAAAAGTGAGTGGTTGTGGCATTAAATAATTTGGGTTAAAGAAAAATAATTATTTTTTAACCTTTTTCAATTTAATGGACAAAAATAAAATTAAAAGATGGAAGAAAACGTCAATAAATTAAAAATAAAGTGGTTTGATTAAAAAGAGAGTGACAAAAAAAAGAGGAGAGAGAGAGAGAGAGAGAGAGTGTGTGTGTGTGTGTGTGTGTGTTGAAGATTAAAAAGAAAGAGCCATGAGATGATTAGATTTTGTAAAAAAAATGAAAAAAAGAAATATGAGTTTTTGTTTTATATAAATAAGTTATCAATAAAAAACTAATAAGATGAGATGGTGCAATGGTTACTACATTGGTTTTTTATTACAAAGGTCTTGAGTTCGAGTTCGAATCTTGATAGCTGCATTTTGCAAAATGAAAAAAAAAAAAAAAAAAGAAATCTCGAAAACCGAAAACCACCGGTTCAATCCGGTCTGGCGGTTTCCACGGTTTAACCGATTTTTGACCGATTTTCTAACCTGATCAACTATAGCATAGAACCGGACCGGAGCCATGGCCGGTTCGTGGTCCAACCGATCGAACCGGCCGGTCCAGTCCGATTTTCAAAACACTGTTGTTCCCCAAAAGCACATTGAGAGAGCATATCATACACAGGCTCCTAATTTTGCACTACGCCCCGCTCAAATGCACGCGCGACTAATAGCCTTCCTCATCCAGGCTGCAGCCACTTAGCCAACTTTGGATCATCTTGATTTTTAAAAGGTTGGATGGTTCGAATCCGAACATCACTATCACGTATCAGAATATAAAATACATCGCTTACACATTATTCCTCGAATAGACAACGAAACAATCTTTGAATCATTTGTTATATTTTTGGTATTACATTACTATTACACTGTGTGATAGAGTAGTAATACATCTAGATCATGATTTATCAACCATTAACCATTAATGAATATTAAATAAAGAGATGTGCACCACTATAAAACTTCGTTTGGTACACTTTTGGTGTTACCTTGTTAAATCATGCATTTGGATACCTTGTGTTTCATGATTCACCAATTCTTACATCAGTCACTCTAGTGCATGGTGTAATAACCTTTGTCTTATATTAAGTGAGAAAATGTGTGTTGCGCTGCTCTACATTGTAACAAGGTATGTGACACAAAATGTGTAATAGGGGATGGGGGTAGACAAATTAGACGAATTATTAATTGTACCATGGTCCAATGGATTCTGGCTAATGAAGGTTTCCATTCCGGAAAAATTCCTATTCTTTGAAAAATATCATTGATATAAATTTCCTATATAAATTCCATGTTAATTATACACCATTGGAGCTCAAAATACCCATGGAACATTGGATTCTTTTGCTCTTAAAATCATGAAAACTATGGTCAAATACGGTTGTGTAACCACCCATAAAGCAGTTGAGAGACTTGAGATCAAACACAAAGCATTGGGTAAACTCCACCCTGTGCAATAACCCGCCAACCATAAGGAGGGGTAAGACGCACTAGGCAAACCTTGTACGACGGGCAAATGTCCTAAGAAAAGCTGTGGTCGATACTATTGCATTTATCTATTATTATCCTTTATTGCATACTAATAATTATTATCCTTTATTGCATTTATATACTTTTTTCTATTTAACCTTGCCTACCTCTTGTATTTATTTATTTTTAATTAATCTTATATTTTCAAAAATATAACATCTGAAATATATCTTAACGATATGACACCCGTTAGATAGACTGATATATCAATAGATACGTCGACTACAACTAGTATTCTTGTGCTTCAACCGTAATGTCTGTCTTTAAATAAGAAAATGAAAGTAATCCATGCATGAGTTTATTAGTAAATGAGACCATTTATTATATGTGACGTCCAAAGTAGTTATACAAGAGTGAACCAGAAGGTATACGAGAGTGAACCGGAAAACATTCCGGTTCATGGTTCAATCGGTTCAAAAGGTTAATAATTTTTTATTCATTAGTATTAAGAATTTTGAATAAAACTAAAATATTTATTTTATAAAATAAAAACTTAATGAAAATCAGTTGAACCTCCCGATTTTTATCGGTTCAATTAATTCTTTGATTTTTTAATTGAATCGGACCGAAGGCATGACCAGTTCACGGTTCAACTGATTGAACTGATCGGTTCGATTCGATTCGGTTTTCAAAAACATTGACTAAATGATCTTACCAAGACCATGTAGTCTTGAATTTCATTGCATTCTACATCTTTTGATTACGAACTAATGTTGTCAATCCAAATCAGTCAAAATTGGATGCCAACTCAAGACTCAATAATTGATATTGACTTGGTTCACAATAGTCATTGATCTTTGAATTCATGGTCCCCCAGGGCTATTCAATCACTTTCTAATGACTAGCAATGCCAATTACAGCTAAACGTACATGTCAGCTTGGGACTCTTTAACTACTATTTACAATCATTTGGGATGTCACTTTCCAGCTACTCTTTAGCCCATTATGTTAGAGCCCTTCTTCAATTAAGTGTAGAACTTCCAAAGTACTCTAAAAAAATCTTTAATAGACACCTAAGAATTCCAAAGTACTATCACTTCCTTAAGTATATAACTTCTAATGAAATTAAATTTCGAGTCGAGGGATTTTCACAAAGTCGAGGGATTTTGTCGACCCAACCTGGGCTCAATGTAGCTAGCTACGCCTGCCAAGTCCTCTGATTATGGCCTTTATTTGGCCATGGATGGGGAAAAAGTTTGATTTTGGCTCTTTTTCTTTTTGATGTAACAAGGGCGTTTTGAGGAGAAGAAAATACCAAATGATGAAATTGGAGTTTTATTACTCCATGGCCTGCTGAGATCTGTTTTCAATTGCCAGATTTTAGTAAATGATATTGTTCTGCAAACTATTAGTAGTTCAAGGTAGTTAAATGCTGAAATGGAAAGTTCAAGGTGCATAGTGAGATTTGGAAGTAGTTTAGGATGCTAGTGTAATTAGCCATAAATTAACATCGTGCGTGTTCACCGGGCTGGACGGATCCGAGATTGCCGCCGTGGAAAAGGGTGAAGAATGAATTCAAAATTGTTCCATCAACGAGGTAGGTAGATTAACCATGTTAAAAGGCGCAGTGATTCACTTAAGACTTGTCAGAGCCCCTAAATTACTTAGCTCTATCAAATTAAAGAAAACTAGTACTTTTTGCACGCTTGATGTGTGTACAATAATAAAAAAGAAAACTTATAATAGTCATAGTAAATGAATTTTATATAAATTTTTCATTGTTAAAGTAAATTTTAATCTCTTAAATGTATTTCATATAATAATTGTAATATCAGAAGTTACAATGCTTAGGTTAGTTATGTTGTAAAATAAATAGTTGAAGCAAAATATTTTTTTCAAGATAACTAACCATAAATATGTATTCAGATAGTTAAAATTAAAGTAGTTTCCATAAGGACAAAAATAGAGAAAATTTTACAGTTCCTTTTTAGTATTATTCGCTTAACTTGTATCTCTCGAAAAAGATATTAGTTTAAATTTTAAATAACACTTCTTTCACAATTCAATGACGATTTTTATTTGTTGTATGATATCCAAAAAAAACAGTAAAATCTCCTTACAAATAGAAGTTTACAAATTGACAAATAATGTTTACACTAAACTCCCTAATCTCTTTTTATATATTTTATAAATAACATCAGATTTTCACTTGAGAGTTAAGATGAGTAGTTTTTGTCATTTTTGTGATAAGTTGCTCCCTTCCACGCTCAAATAGGGGTTGTGCCAGTATCATTTGATCATTTGCCAAGTCTCGAAGCAGACGAAAACGTCGTATGAGATCCCCCTAGCTTCTCATATCTGATATCACTCATCTACAAAACACAATCATGCAGGTAGGGAATAGCCAAAGAATCTAGAGAGTCTATTACTCAGAATGAATCCGACTTTGAAATTAAGCAAACGTATGCATGAGCATAATCTCACTAACAAGGTGGAATATCTCAACTTGGTTAGGCGACCATCTTTGTTGATCTACTCATTATGTTTTACCATATGGCTCAGCTTCTGCTTCCTGTTTGCTTCCAACACTCTCAAGTCCACCTTCGAACATGGAGACTCAGACTACCCCGAGCAAAGGAACTCCTTAAACCAGCCCGGCAACGGTAGGCCAGGTATTGGCTCTCGTTTCATTGGCACATTTACATTTGTTGACAAAAACGTCTTACAATTTGTTAAACCTGCTCCATTTGGTTTCTGAAATGCATTCACAATACATCGAACTCTGTTCTTTGTGATGTTTTGAAGAAACTGAAAAGTGTGACCTATCGAAGGGTCGTTGGACTCAAGATGCTAGAGGGCCTTTGTATACAAATTTCAGCTGTAAAACACTCCCTTACCAGAGGAACTGTTTCTTGCATGGGAGGATGGACAGGGACTTCCTTCAATGGAGATGGAAGCCCGATGAATGCGAACTTCCTGTCTTCAATCCCAGGAGCTTTCTAAACATTGTTAAAGGAAAGACGATGGCTTTCATAGGTGACTCACTTGCCAGGAATCACATGAATTCGCTTCTCTGTTTATTATCTGAGGTTTGTTCTTGAAATCCTTCCCTTAAATATATTCAGACATATGAAACCAAACGTTTACTCGCGTTTTAATTATATGATCTAATTGGATAAGATGCAACTCTGTTAATGAATTTATTTGTAGACTTTCCATTCACATATCTTAGGCTTATTACCAATGCTTTATGCTTTTGTTAAAACTTTGTTTATAACTTAGTTAGTCTTCTCTTTTAGTCCATCTACATATTGGTCAGAACTATAACTTGTCAAATGTTAAAATGATAGTTTTATTAAGCGAATTAGATATTGCATCGAGAGTATTACAAATGAAAGCATTTAAATTCATTTAACTTGAAAATCTTCGAAAAACTTCTATATTTCATGCAAAACATTTTACTGAGAAAGTATTTCTTGGTTTAGAACGTTTCACATCCAACCAAAGAATGCCATAGCCACTTATTACGCTACATTTGAATAAAAGGAATTTATATGAAAAAGTGAATCAAAAGATACATAAAAGAAAGTTAAAGTAGACCTTTTTTTTAGCAAAAGTTAAAGTATAGTTCTCTACTTTGTTTGACAAAATAAATGGAAAGAAAATGAGTAAGAATCAATGTTTATTGGAACCTTTTCTAATTGAAAGAAACTTTTTTCCTTCAAGAGATTTCAGCTTGTTTACAAATCAAACGCACACGGCTCAACAACAAAAAGTGTTGATACTTCCTACCTGTTTCTTATTTTCCTAGGAACCCAAGAACTATCTCAGGCTCTTGCACGATTCCCTAGCTAGCCACCAAGAAGTCTTTCCATAATTTTGGCTATTTGTATAATCCACTATAGATGTTTGTGACAAAGATCAACTTTTTACATAGGATTCGGATGTCTCATGTTTCTCAAATTGGGATGGGTGCGTTTGGTTCTGCATGGACAATGCCGTAGTTGTTGTACTGATTTTTGATGGTAGACCCACTCTTTCCTTCATATAAATTCAATTGATCAAGGGGCACCAATGTGTGTAACATGGGACTAATACTAGCAAGTGTAGAAGGTGATACAAAGCTAGGAAAAGTTTGGTTAACAAAAACATGACTTTATATTTTTTTTCTTTTTGGTCAACAGTGTACGTGAGTATACACCGTACAGTACCAACCCTATTTGATAACTAAATCTAATATTTAAATTTATTAGGTTCAAATTTTAACATATTTAAATATGTTTGATAACCAAAAATAGATATGGCTTTGAATTTTTTAGAGTTTATTGCCAAAATAATTCTCCTTCAAAAACATATACCCAAAGTAATTTAATTTTAAAATTTGTTACTATTATAATTCTTTTTTTACCACATAGGTTGCATATGTGCTAGGATATAGATAAAGACGCACTCTATTTCTCTTTTTTATCTAATATCTTTCATGATTCTTTCTTACTTTGAACCTTCCCACACTTCTTTTCCTTTCATTATCTTTCTCTTGTCAAACGTAATTCTAAAAAGCCAATATTTATATTAACAATATCTAAAACTTTAGTGTCATACTTAATATTGTTTCGGCAGATGAAAATATTATTCTAAAATCGATAATCTCAAGATAAACAAACATTATTCTCGTCTTTTCTATTGTGAAGTTTATGGAACATTCCTATGGCCTTCAAAAAATGGCCATGAATAGTAAAGAAAATGACGAGAATGTGGTTACTTTTGATTGGTGAAGCTTGAAGTGCAGAGTACTGGTTCAAATATTTCAACTCTACTTGCAATTAGATCACCTATCTCTCTTGGAAATTTTTTTTTCTTCTTGGAAATCTATTATAGTTATACTATGATTGAGTATTTTTTCAAGTTATCCTACTCTACTTAGAGATAAGGAAGAGACGTATACTTATTTGTCTTCTTGGTTCTCATAAAGTATAACCTTTTGTTATTTTTTTTGGTTTGTCACCTATTTGAATGGTTGCCAACTTATTTGAAACTAGTTTTTAGAACCCCATTAAATAATTCCATCTTGATTTTCTTTCATATTCTGAAATTATGGCTCCTGACTAGCTAGGAAATTGTACAAATCATTAAGTAAGAGTGGCAGAAAAAAAATATATAAAGATAAAACATCATGAACAATGATGGAAAATATTCAATTGGAACCAAAGAAGAAAATTTCAGCTTGATTACTTTTTGTAAAAGTTTTTTTCAAGGAGTAGGAAGGATAACATAGAGGATAACATAAACAAATATCATAGCCTTAAAGTTTTTGTGACCTTCTCTTGTTATTGCTTACAATTTTCGTTGAAATTTTCATTGCAATTTTTGTATTTTTTAAAAATTATTTTTAAAAAAATATATGCAATAGGTTTGATTCATTTTAAAAAAAATGGAGAGACCAATAATTGCAAGGTCAATAATGGTAGAATTTATTTTAAATAATTATAAGGAAATTATCAAAGTTATGCTATCTTTTTGTGCCTCTATAAGAAAAAAAAATTTAAAATTTTAGTTCATGTTACAAACTATAGAGTAGATTAAAACTTTCTTTTCTTGTTATCCAACATGTCAATCAGGATAATTAGGTGGCAACAATAACATCATTATAGGAATAAAATTTGAAAGTGAATCAAATTAGGAATATTTTTTAAAAAAGTCTTATTTTGGCAAAAAAAAAACTCAAATTTTTTAAGCAAAATAAGTGATAATCTATTCACCTATCACTTAATGTGATAACATTTAAATGTATCAAATTTAGTACTTAACAATTCTGTAATTCAATGGATTTAGATTTTAGATTTCAAATTTCAAATTTCAGTTTTCAAATTTCAGTTTTTAAATTTCAGTTTTATTAAGCACACCCTTAGGTAAGTTAAAGACCAAATTGGATTTAAAATCCTTCTTTACACTGTAGGTCGGGAGTTCAAACTCATAACATGCAGTTAAAAAAATTCAAATGGTGTGTACCCCTTTGGTCCATATGAGCCTGCTTTTCCCCTAATTCCTTATACAATCTAGTTGGATTTTTCTTCTATGATAGAGTATTGATAGTATAGATGTTACCAATTGAGAGAAAAAAAATGTAGTATAGATGTTATCAATTGAGAGAAAAAAATATAGTATAATAAAGCCTAGATCCAAGGCCTCACAATCTATGTTTCGTATAATTTTGCACAAGTTAACCTCTGGTGTAAATCAATAGGATTTTGGTATTAATAAGGTCCAGTTTCATATAAATTAGGTACAGCTCAATGTATGTTGATTTGTTATTATTTAGTGTAAATCAAGTACAATTTGGTATAAGTTGATTAGTATCATTTAGTGTAAGTTTAGGACAACTTAATGTATATTGAGAGTAAATTATAAACTTATACCAACTCGTACAAAATGAAACTTATGAGGCCGCGTTTCCCACAAAGCCTTAAGTCGTACCCACACCAACTTCTATCATATCACTTTTTGAGCGGGGTCACAAGGGCATTAAAATTATGCTGTTAGCTATGTAGTTTTGTAAATATTTGACATTGCCCCACCACAAGTCAATAAAATGTAAAGATACGCATGACTAATTTGGTGAGTTGATTGGAATCGAGTAGTGAAGGATTCAAAACCAAGTTGTTTCTATCATTTAGATGTTTTGGATGTAAATTGGATTACTTCATACTCCATTCATGAAAACATTTATGGAAAAATTAAATAAGAGGTCCATATGTCAAGTATGCCTAGCAGATCGGGATTCAAAAAAATCAAAGAAAACCTATTAAGTGTATCGGGAGGGATGGTTGGGTGGTATGGAGGGAAGGAGTATAAGTGAGAGGTCCTGGATTCAAACCCTCACACTTATACTAAAACAAATGTTAAAAAAAAAAAAAAAAAAAAACCTATTAAGTGAAATATTCTTCACTAATTGTACTCCATTTCTCTCATCTCTTCTAATTTTCAAATTTACCCCCAATTCATAAGAAGAAGTTCAGTTGATTTCTAAGTTCACCAATTTGCATATTAGTGTCCATCTAAGTTTGAAAACAATGAAGAGTCAGCTTGATAATTCTCGTCTAATTCAAGAACAGTAATGCATATGTTTATTAATTAGTTTTTTTTTTAATTTCATGTACTATGGTGTTTTATATTTATTAACACTGGGGAGCTGCTGCTTCCACCTTTCTAAGAATTTGAAAACTTTTTTGATTTTATTGGTATTTTTATAGTTTAAGTTTTTGGCTCACTCCCCAAACAAAAATTTTTCTTATTGATTATTATGCTATATTTGGTTTACCTTTGGAGAATTTGTAACTTCATCAATTATGTGCTTTGCCGCCTACAAAATCCTTTAAAAAGTTAATGTAATTCTTGTTAGCACTATTGTAAAATTATCATTGTATCAAGAGATTAAAAAGAATGCCTGATATTATATTTGTCTCCACCTGAAATTAATCCACACTCCCGCACTTATCGTGACATGTTTCTGAACTTTCTAGTATGTGTTAACATGCGAACAAATTTTATCATGGCGTCCGAATGTTGGCTAATTTCTCGACAAATCTTTATTGTTCGACCCATAAGAATACTCTAAATAAGATTGCACTATTTGTTCAATTGATGCCATTTCATTAGCCAAAGAACAACTATTAGATTTGCCAGTTACCATGCTGCATTCATGGATAGAAACTTGTTAAACTTAGTACAAGAAACTCCATTTTGCAGGAGGAAACCCCACACGAAGTATACAGGGAAGATGAGGAAGGGAAGACCATAATATGGCACTTGCCTCGTAACAACTTCACCATCATGGTGCTGTGGTCCCCATTCCTCGTCTCCGCCTCAGAGATGGCAGTCAACGGCACCGAAACCGGCGGTTTTCATCTACACCTAGACAAGATTGATGAGAGTTGGGTGCAAAAACTACCAGCCCTAGATTATGCCATTCTCTCAGCCACCAACTGGTTCTTCCGACCCAACTACGTGTACGAGGGTGGTCATTTTCTTGGATGTATTTACTGCTCGGACCCAAACGTGACGCACCTTGGCCCTGACATTGTCATACAAGGAGCTTTTAGGCTTGCTCTTAAGTCCATCAACGATTGCAACAGCTGCTCGAGGATAGTAACTTTACTGAGAACATTCTCACCATCCCAATTCGAGAACGGCACTTGGAACACGGGAGGGACTTGCAAGAGAACACGCCCATTTGCTCCAGAAGAGATTAACAACGGTGGCCTGGATTTGGTTTACAGGAACGCCCAACTGGCGGAGATTGATAATGCCCGCAAATTGGGAGAGGAAAAGGGAAGAGCATTTGATGTTATAGATGTTACTGAAGCTATGCTAATGAGGCCTGATGGCCATCCTGGATTACATTGGGATAACCGATGGAACAAGGGACTGAGTGATTGCCTCCATTGGTGCTTGCCAGGGCCTGTTGATACTTGGAATGAATTTTTACTTGAATTGCTCCAAAGACATTCCAGCTTTCTCTTAGCTCTTGAAGTCATGCAGCAGCAGAAATTAAAAAATTAGTACTGCAACAGTGAAAGAGTTTTGGACTCCAAGAAAAAAGTCACCAATGAAGCAACAGTTTGATAGAGGTTTAACCGGTCTTAGAGGCAATGATATGTGGGCTGTGTTTTTGCAGTTAATATTGAAGGGACTCTCAGCAATTATAACAGTAATAGCACTATGAAATTCATGGTTCGGAATGGATGAATTCGAAATTGGACAGATTAGATTGATTTTGGAATACAAATTTTAGTGAGTTATTTTTTCAATGTCTTTGCATATTTATTGTTTTAGTTTTTACATTTTTTATATTAGTGCTTGCACTGTAGGGATAACTAGAATTGGGAATTGCAGAGGTGCCGAATCCGTTACTATCCTCTCAAACCTCTAATGCGATTTTTAGGAGAAAATTCCAAAATATTTGATTATTGAATTTCATATTTGCTTGCCTTAGCATGAATTTTTAAATTTTATTTTAGTGCAAGCGAAAGGACCCGAGCTCAGAACCTCTCATTTACATTCTCTCTTCCCCAATCATCCAACTCATCCCTCCCTCATGCATCTTCAACACGATTTGGTGATTCTTTGTGCTATTTCATTTGCTTACCTCTTTTTTTTTTTTTTGTTAAGCAACAACTCCTGTACTAATCTTACTCCTAATTTTACTCTAGCCTATCTAAGGAAAGGCCCAATCAAGTTAATGAGGATTAGAGAGAGTGGATCTCACATCAAGATTAAAGGGTGTACTATTGTACATCTTTTAAATTTAGAAGAAATCACATATTAGTGGCAATTGATGGGAAGTGAGATTTGAAACTTTGATCTCTTACCCCACAAAGGCAGTTAAAGGCACATATTAGTGGCTATTTAATTTGTTTATGCTTGTGTGTTATGTCATAGATTTACTTTTTTTTTCCATCATAAATACCTTTATACCTAAAATTCACCTTTACAGAACAGTTCTTTATTAAGTAAGAGTCTATTTAGAAATGCTGTGTTTTTCAAAAATGGCGAGTTTTTCGTCTCAAAATCTCTTTTTGCATAAACTCAATATTAGTGCTTTTGAATTAACGTTCATGTTTCAAAAAATAAAAAATAAAAATTTGACCTATTTATTAGAAATTATGAACTGAATAAAGATATAAATATATCCAAATGATATGATTATTTAACAAGTACTTATATCGGGGCGAAGAGATGTTGATCTAGTGGTTAAGATAAAACTTTAGAGGTTCTAGATCTAAATCCCTCTATCCCTTCATTGCTTTTTAAATCTCACTCCTCTCCTGTTTGAAATTTTTAAAAAAAAAAAATTACTTTTACCAAAAGTTAAGTTCTACTAAATGAAGGATTTTTTTTTAACCATAATTTCAAATAGGCACCAAAGATCTCATATCAAAAGCTAGTTAAAAAAAAAAAACTTTTTTACCATGATTTCAAACAGGCACTGAACATCGCATATCAAAAACTAGTTCAAATCCAATCTGGGGCGTGTAATGGTGTCTAGAATAATATCCCAACTTCGAATTTGTGTTTCGTCCTTCTAATCAAAATGGTGCATGAACAACGTTTCAATATCAACCGAAAAAATTTCATTCCGAATTTAGAGTTGTCAAGAGGCCCATAACCACGGATTTGGGGCAGGGACGGTCATCAGTATGACCGTCCCTGCACGGTTAAGGGCCAAGATTTGCCCTCAAAATTTTGGGCTGCTGAGATTACACCATGTAACTCGATTTCAGCGCCAAGTGTGGGGCCCACTACTATCTGTTGTGAAAATACATCCTGTGAAAAAAAAATTACACGATGTACAAAGAAAGTTACGCGCAGTTGATAATGATCAAAATTGCCCTGGTGTGCAACCGTCCGTGCCCCGAGTCCCATAACCACGATTACTTGACAAAGCGGGCTGGAGTTCTCAAGCTGAATCAAAATTTTCAGATGCCATGGTACAGCACAATTGTTTAGTTCTACCCAAGCAGCAGGTAGAGCATACACAGGCTTCTAATTTTGCCGTACGCCCGGCCCCAATGAACAATCAACTAATAGCACTTGCTCATCCGGGCTGCAGCCAACTAACCAAATTAATCCCCTGCTCATAAGATAAAATAATCCATGGAGAAAGTGGTATTAGTCATCCTAGAATATGATTAAGAGATATGATAATGAAATTTTTATACTAATTTATCCTTATAAATGATATAAATTTATATTTTCATAATTAAATAACCTTATCCTCACACAATAATATAAAATGAGTTGACTAATTTGCCCCTACTAATTAATTTAAATTTTTTGACTAATTTACCCCTACTACCAACATAACAATATTTGAACTAACTTGTACTTGCAAATGATACAAATTCATACTGAATATTATATAACCATACTTTTAGACAAATGCAAACGATATTCATACCGAATATCATGGAGAAAGTGGTATTAGTCATTCCAAAATGACTAAGAGATAGGATGATAAAATTTTAGCCTAATTTATCCTTATAAATAATGTAAATTTATATTTTCATAATTAAATAACCTTACCCTCACACAATAATATAAAATGCATTGACAAATTTGCCCGTACTAATTAATTTAAAATTTTGTGAATAATTTACCCCTACTACTAACATACCTATATTTGGACTAATTTGTACTTGCAAATGATATAAATTCATACTAAATATTATATAACTATACTTTTATATAATAATATGATAATAAACGGACTAATTTGCCCTACTAATTATATTAAATATTTTTACTAATTTGCCCCTATTCATTATTTTGAATTTTTTGGGCAGAATTATCCCTATTAATTAATTTAAATTTTCAACTAATTTGCCCCTACTTACATCATAATAAAAGACGATATTTACCTTTGACTAAATTGCCCTTACTAACTTTATTTTCGCAGCCAAATTCTATATAAATATATAACCTTATCAATTGGGCTATGCGAATTAAGGCTTCAATAAGCTCAAGCTCGACACAAAAAAAAATCTTCTATATTGTTTTGAATTTTGCTCATTTAAAACTCTTAAGTGGGTTAGATTTTATTCAATTAATCCTAATTTAGCCAAAAATTGGCCCATCATTTAATTAAATTTCAATTTTCAAACTTAGATTAAAAAATTAGGCTAAAACCTATTTTTAAGGGTCCAAATAGGCTGAGTTTGAGTGAATGCAAATATTTATATATCAAAACCCTTGATTTACTTTATAGTTCTAAAGTTTCAAATTACTTTATTTTAATGAAAACTATAAATTATTAAATCATATATATATATATATATATATATATAATAAAGTCATACTCTCATCCTTATCATTTTATTTTGTCTCTTTCCAACGTGGCTTAACGACAGGACAAGTAGGTGCAATGCGCTTTATGAGTTAACCTTCCTAATAACCTACGCTATTCTATCCCTCTTTTTTCTCTTTGCCTTTACAATTCTAGATAATCCTTCCATAATTATCTCTTCCATTCTTTCACCTTTTTTTTTTTCCTTAACCTAATCGTCAAGCCTAAATTTCCTGGGGATTAGTATAAATAATTTTGAATTATGTTTTTAACTCTCTCTCATCTTCAACTCAAAAGTTCAAAATATCAATTCAAATATTAGATTATCTTTATCAAATTATCGTTATCGCAGATACTCTACATTTTTATTCATATATATATAGTTTTCGATCTATTACTCATCACTTTATTAAGTAGTGAAAATGTTTACACTTTATTATTAATCACTGAATTAGATGTTTAAATTTACATTATAAGACTATTTTTGAATAACAATGTGCACATAGTAATGTAATTAAGAAAGGTTATAATAGATTATACAATAAGTTTGTATTTTATGCAAATATTTTTATGAACTACACTAAATAATTTATTATTTTTAAACAATTCCCATTCAACGAATGGGTACAAAGCTAGTTATTTTATTAAAACAATCTTACAAATTAAGGAGTGCTTTAGCTATTAAAATAGTAATCCTACCTCATCCAATTTCCAACCAAACATAGGATAGGATGATTTCCAATACATCCTATTCAACCTCGAACTAACCAAACACTAGATAACTTAGATTATTAATTCGATGATGACTCAACCCAGGATTAATAATCCTTGGATGTGTTGTCTCATCTCATTCAGTCCGTGAACTAAACGAATTGTAAGAAATTCATTACTTAAGGACGCGTTTGATTAAACTGAAATCTAAAAACTAAAATATGAAATCTAAAATCTGAAGTCTGAATTCGTTAAGTTATTTTGTTAAGTACTAAATGTAATATATTTGAGTGTATATCACATTAAATGATAAGTAAATAGTTTATCACTTTTTTTCTGGAACAAGTTTGCTAGGAAATTTAATGCCACTTAATTAATTAGACGCTTAATTTTTTGTTATTAAGCACATTTGAACATATTAAAATTTGAATTTATTAAATTTAAGTGCTGCATTGAATTATCAAATAGGGTCTAAATTTCAGAGTGAGTAATAAATCTAGATCAAGGTTTATCAACCATTAATGAATATTGAATGAAGGGATGCGCATCACTGTAAAACATCTTTTGGTACGCTTTGGTGTTACAGTATTATATATACTACATATCAAGTTAGCACGTATTCGACCATTACATCGGTCATGCCAATATATGGTGTAACAACCCTTATTTCATATACAGTAAAACCTCTATAAATTAATACCTTGGGACCATACAAATTCTATTAATTTAAAGAGATATTGATTAATTGATAAATTAACAATTTATTAATTTATTGAGTGTACTTGAAATTCTGTCTAAGAAATATAAACCAATCCATATCTACTTGATTTGTAAGTATAATTTAATTCTATTATATTTTCACTTACATAGTAATTGATATCATTTTCTGTTATCAAGATGTAAAAAAGGATTTTAAAATACTAATTGACAGATATAAAAAGGATAGATATGTATATGCATGTGGGATTTTTTCTATTATACCCAATCACATAATGCTTTATGCATTTCTGATCAGTCATGATTGATTTTGAATGAGAATAAGTTAGATTTAAGTTTTAAAAAAAATAAACTCATATTTTAGAAAAATATAATATGCAAAGTTAGTGAATTATTAATTTATTATATGAATGGAACCAAAGGATTATATAAAGTTTTCAA